GGCGCGATCTTGGCTCACTGCAAGCTCTGCCTCCCGGGTTCACGCCATTCTCCTGCCTCAGCCTCCCAAGTAGCTGGGATGACAGGAGCCTGCAATCACGCCCGGCTGATTTTTGTATTTTTAGTAGAGACGGGGTTTCACCGTGTTCGCCAGGATGGCCTCAATCTCCTGACCTCGTGATGCGCCCGCCTCAGCCTCCCAAAGTGCTGGGATTACAGGCGTGAGCCACCATTCCTGGCCCATTTTTGTATGTTTAGTAGAGATGGGGTTTCACCATGTTGGCCAGGCTGGTCTCGAACTCCTGATCTCAAGTGATCTGCCTGCCTCAGCCTCCCAAAGTGCTGAGATTACAGGTGTGAGCCACTGCGCCTGGCCCAGTGTCCATAAAGCTTTGCCAGAACACAGCTACACCTGTCAGTTTACGTCTCCTCTGGCTGCCTTCTGCTACAAAGGTCTTACCTACAGAGCCCACAAACCATCTGGCCCTTTAGAGACAGCATTTGCTGGGCCTGGTGTATACCGTCGCTGATATGACCAGCTCTATTTCTGTGAAGTGGACAATTGTCTTTGTGGTAGGTTGAAAAGTGTGTCCCAAAAGATAGGTCCAATTCCTAACCACTGCTCTGGAACCTGGAAGTGTGACCTTATTTGGAAAGAGTCTCTGCAGATGTAATTAAGTTGGGATCATCTTGGATTTAGGGTAGGTCCTAAATCACATGGCAGGCGTCCTGAGAAGGGAGAGAGAGACCTGAGACCCATAAAAACACAGGGGAGAAAGCTGCGTAAGGATGGAGGCAGAGATTAGAGCGAGGCGTCCACAAGCCCAGGGAGGCCTGGAGCCAGCAGAAGTGGGCAGGAGCAGGAAGGAGCCTCCCCTGGAGCCCAGGGAGGAAGGGCAGCTCTGCCCACACCTTGATTTTGCACCTCTGGTCTCCAGCGCCGTGAGATCAACTTCTGTGGTCTGGGCCACCTGGTCTGTGCTGTGTTGTTACAGCAGTCTCCTGACACCCACATGACTGTGATTCTGAACAGTCTCCTGCAGTCACGATGTCCACATAGAACCTTTGGGTGGAGAACCTTCTGGTCTCCCCAGCATCATCAGGCTCCCGCCATACCCTGTGCCTCACCTGGAACGGTCATCCACTGGGCTATCGCTGACAGCGCAGTGCTCTGCACCTGCTCCTCTGGGACCACCTGGTCCACTATGCCCACCTGCAGGGCCTCTGCTGGCGGGAAGAGTAGCCCCAGCTGCAGCGCACGCTCGGCTGCCCGGTGCCCGATGACGTTCACCAGGGTGTCTTTGAACCTGGAACGCAGACACCCACTCACCACGTGGCCCCAGGTGGGTCGGTTCCCTCCACGACAAGAATGGAGTGTGGCTGCACCCCCGGGCCTTACCAGAAAGGGGCAACGATGCCCAGCTGGGTCTCGTTGAGTCCTATGCAGTACCTGGGGTTGTCTGCCAGGACACGGTAGTCACAGGTCAGGGTCATCAGGCAGCCTCCGGCAGGGCAGGCTCCCTGCAGGGGGAGGCCGGACAGGGCTCTTAAGACTCTTAGGTGCTGTTGGTCCCAACCACATTCCAGAGGGCCGGGTCCAAGGATGCCAAGGAGGGCCTGTGCCCTCGATGTGCCCCAACCCCCACAGGGCTCCATACCCACAATGGTCTGGGCTGCGTTGGGTGTGCACCAGGAAATGGATGGGGAAGGAACTGGCCCCTTAGTGCTCGGCAAGGAGGGTCTGAGGCTTGTCCTCAGCCGAGGGTCATTAGTTCTTAGGCAACAGAAAAATCACTTTTTAAAACCGTTCAGTTAGGGGAGCAAGTTG